TTTCTGTGTTATAACTCTGAGGATGCCAGTCACAGCTGCTGGCGAAACATCAGGTCCTACAATGCCAAGACCATGGCCATACAGCCCAGAAAATCTACAACAACTAATATACAACTCTATGATTAGAAATTGGTGCAAGGGAGGAAAGAGGAGGCTGCTCGGGGGTGGGTGGGTGGAGCCAGTCCAATTGTGGCTTCAGCATGGCAGGACAACCTTGTCTGCAGCAGTCAATTGGAACCTCTTCACTTCAGGGACCCGTAAGTTGGGAGCTGCTGCACCCATATTCACACCTCTCCACTTGGCCTTCAGCTCCAGGGATGCTGTCCCGGATGGCTGCAGGGATCAGCATTTGCATGTGGGGTGTGTGTGCAGACAATCCTCGTTGGGGCATGGAAACATCTGGCCAGTGCCGCACTGCTGGCTCTCCAGTCCACCCATGTGGATTTTCCTCTGCACACACTTCAGCCCATGGGGACTTGCAGTGAGGACACACCAACTTGGAGCTTACCAGTTGCTGTCATTTACACAGTTTATATCTCCGGTACCCAGCATTACGTTTTATGGCACATGTGGCCCAGCCTGACAAAATGACACTTATGTCAGATCCAGCCCTCATAACAAATGAGTTCTAGGTCTGTTTTTAACTGAAGCCCTGGACAGAGAAATTATAGTTCTAACAGAACTAGCAAGCATCTCTCAAGGGCTAATTTAAAGACCCTGCAAGGGTCTGGGCCAGTAGTGGAAAGAAGCTGCATTATCCAGAACCAATAACTCCTGAGGAATGAATATGAACTGGGCCTCACCTGCACCCCCTTCTGGGTTATCTTTTTAAAGCAGCCTCTTCCCATGCACAGCTGGCCGAGCAGAAGAGCCATTCCAGTCAGGCTTTCAATCTTTGCGAGCAAGAACCTGATGATATACAGTGCAATTAAGGAATGGCTCCTCATTCCATAAGAGCTTTTTACATTCTCTATAAAACATCTTCTTCCTCCCACATAAAATGTACAATATGTATCAGTGTCAGCGTGAAATAGTGACATAAGAGAAATAAAAATGGGTGCAATTAAATCTAGGCGTTATTGCTGTTTTAACAAGGAAAATATATCATTAATTAGTCCTGGGAATTCTCTGTCAATTATCCACAGCATAGGCACCAGAGAAGCCTTCGAGCTTTTCATAGTCAAATGAAAGATTGTTCCTTTCCGCTTAAATATGGGGGGACAGTGCCTGGCTCAAGAGGAGTATTTTTACTTCAGGTCTATGGTGGTAGAAATCTTTCACATATGGTAGCAGATAAAAACTTAAGTATGTTGTTCCCACATTGCCCTGTACTGAATCTTGTGGAATGCTGAGGAATTCATCCTTTCATCCTTCAGACAGGGGTCAGTGGTTGTGCTATATATTAGATTTCTCTGACAACAAATCCTCCCTGTTTTCAAGCAAAGAATTAAACTTGGGGATTATATCATTGAACTTCAATATCCAACTGTTTTTCTCTTGTGCTTGAAATTGGTAAATGACACCAACCAAAGTAATCTTTCTACTGATGCACACAGTGAATGGATGGGAGCTCCTTTGTGTCTACACAAAGCTGTTTTGGTCTTATTCTCATAGTCTGTTTTTATAGTACAAACAGACTGTGAAGCTACTTCTGTGGGTCTTTTGTTTTGTCTGTGTTGACTTGGGTTTTTTCTCTCCTAAATGTGTCCCTTGTAAGACAAGATCAAGGCCAAAATTAGAAGTTAGACTTCCCCAATTCCATTCCATTATTGTTCTGGAATCTGACTCTGAACTCCATTCCACTCTTCCTTAACTCTGGTTTTAGTAGGAGAATTTCTAAAATTACTTCCAGAGCTGGAACATGTGAGGTATGCTGCAATTTTCAGTTCTTGTAGTTTGTATCTACAGCCCCACCACAGTGTTACCATGTGCATGCGCGTATTAATAAAACAGTAAAAAAAAGTGTAATTGTGTGAATGGCTCCATCAAGGATCTATTGGGTTTGGTTCTTTACAGACATGCAACTGTGCCCATCTGCCTTCATAGAAAGACCACACAAAAAAAGATCTTGGATGTAACCAAACATGCAGCAAACTGCACATATACAGAACTCTGGAGAAAAATCAGAAACAAAGAACCAGAAGAATGGAAGATTCCTTATGGTTTGGCTGCAGTTCAGAGGAACTCCAAAACCCAGCAAAAAGTTCATACAAGAATTACAGAAGCATCCCTAGACTTTGCAGGAGATCGAGGGCTGCTGCCAAAACAGAAAATCAGACTCAATTAAATAGAATTTTATCCCACCCTGCCAAGCTTTCAAGGTGGGTTAAAGATAATGAAAAAACTCAACAACCAACAACTAATCAACCAAGTCAAAAGTAGCATAATAAAACTACAGTGTTGGATTGCTGCTAACAAAGATCCGGAGAGTGATTTCAGCAAAGTGATCGGCTTTATTGAAGGTACGAACAAGCGCTTAACGGCATTCATAACCAGAACAGATTAACATTGGGAGCTAGGCTCCTTTTAAACCTTCCCGGGCTAACATAGCCACGCCTCTGTACAATTAACAACCAATGAGGTTGATCGGATAAAGACCAATGAGAGTCTTTCCCTCTCAGGGAGCTGGTACAGTCCTGATTGGTCGCTGTTGTAGAGTGACCAATAGTAAGGCAGGTTGGAGGAGCCTTCGTCAGGCTTGAAGCTTTACATGGGGAGTGAATTTGCCTTACAATTTCAGTAAGCCTTTTCACATGGGGAGTGAAATTGCCTTACAATTTCAGTAAGCCTTTTCAATACATTACAATTCCTCCCCCCTAAGTTAAGACACACACATTTTTTACATATTCACTGTTGATCATAACCTATACATCAGCCATTACAATATACTTCATTGCAGTCATAATTGCCTAGGTACAAAGGCGTTCGCTGCGCACGCTGAGAGCTGCGGAGCGGTGCAGGCTCAGGGGGCAAACTTACTTGAGGGTAACCTATGGGTTCTATACTGCCTGGGTCAGGCACATGGGTTGCAGTCTCGAAGCCAGGGGACTGCCCTGCTTTGGGGACTGTACTCACCTCCGTATCTGGAGGTCTGTACACAAGTTCTGGGGACTCAGCTGTCGGAGAGTCAGCGCTGTCCTTCGCCCATCTCCTCCTTAGCTGGTCTATGTGGCGCCGCCATTTCCTGCCATCAGGCAGCTCAACCACATACATGCAAGTGCCGACATTCTCACACACCACCCCGGGGATCCATGAGTGCCCTCCAGTGTAGCTACGGGCGAAAACCTTGTTCCCTGACTCAAATATGCGCACCTTCATATGCGAATCATTGTGCTCTGACTGCTGTTTGTTTAAATCTGGGTGCAACCGGTTTAAACGGGTTGTCAGGCATTGGCCCATTAATAACTCAGCCGGACTACGGTCCGTAGCGCTACACAGGGTGGTATGCTGCCGCAAAAGGAAAGAACCCAGCTTAACACTCCAGTCCCCCTCGTACATTTTACCCAGAGACTCTTTTGTTGTTCTGACCATCCTCTCAGCCTGCCCATTTGACACTGGAAGGAATGGGGCAGAAGTTACATGGTGAATGCCATTGTCCGAGAGGAACTGGCCAAACTCCTGGGATGTGAATTGGGGCCCGTTATCACTGACCACTATGTCCGGTAGTCCGTGTGTTGCGAAGAGCCGACGCAGCGCATGAATGACTGCCATTGAAGTGGTCAATTGCATCTGCACCACTTCCAACCATTTTGACATAGCATCAACCATAATCAAAAACATTTGCCCTTGTACTGGCCCTGCAAAATCTATGTGCAGCCTTGCCTGTGGATTCCCACTTCTGGGGTGAAACCTGTGGAGGCTCTGGTCTGTTTTGTTGGCATGGCATACACACCCGTACCCACTCTTCAATTTCGGCATCTAGCCCAGGCCACCATACATATCCTCTTGCTAGTACCTTCATATGTACCATGCCCGGGTGTCCGTCGTGCAAGGATTCAAGCACTATTTCCCTGAGTTTGTCAGGAACCACCACCCGGTTTTCCCAAAGAACGCAACCTTTGGAAATTGACAGTTCCTTTTGGCAGGCTCTGTACGGCTTGAATTCAGGCTCCAAGCTCCCCACTGGCCACCCCCTCCATACCCAGTTGAGAACACGGGACAATACGCTGTCCTTTGCCGTTAGCAATGCAATTTCTCTCGAGGAGACTGAAGCCGTGGGAAGCTCATCGATTGCCAACACATCACATGCAGGGGCAGTGGCTGAGCACATCCGTGTGCCCAATTGCTTTCCCAGGCCGGTGCTCAAGGTCAAAATCATATGCCTGCAAAACTATCGCCCATCTAAGCATTCTTGGGGACAAAATGTGCAGCATTTGCTTATTGGGCGCAAAGATTCCCAGTAGTGGCTTGTGGTCAGTGACCAGTACAAATCTTCTGCCAAAAATAAAATCATGGAACTTTTTGACAGCCGCTACTAATGCCAGACCCTCTTTATCTATCTGGGCATAGTTCCTTTCTGCCGTAGATAGAGACCTTGAGTAAAAAGCGATAGGCGCTTCGCTTCCATCAGGCATCAGGTGGCTCAAAACAGCACCTACTCCAAAAGGTGAAGCGTCAGCAGCTAAAACCAGGAGGTTTTGCTCATCGTAATGAGTTAACACATTGTTTGATACCAACAGCTCTTTAACTCCTGTAAAAGCCCTTTCTTCGGCTTGTCCCCATTTCCATTTTGCCTCATTATGCAAAAGTGCGTGCAAGGGTGCTGCCACGGATGCCTTGTGTGGTAAAAATGCATGGTAAAAATTGAGTAGTCCTAGGAAGGACTGGAGCTCTTTTTTACCAACCAGCCTGGGGGCATTTTGAATTGCGGTCACCTTTTCACCTGTGGGGTGCACTCCCTTTTCATCGATGTGAAACCCCAAAAACTCAACACTGTTAACACCCAGCATACACTTAGATCGCTTTACTTTTAGACCAGCACCTTGGAAACGTTTCAGTACTTCCTTTACCCGGTCTAGTAACTCCTGCTCAGCCCCCCCTGCAATCAAAACATCGTCAAAGTAGGGCACCGTACCAGGTACCCCCCTTAACAAGCGTTCCATCAGACCTTGGAAAATACCTGGTGCAACGTTGACACCGAATTGGAGCCGGTTCACTTTAAATGCCCCTCTGTGGGTCACAATCGTTTGGGCTTCTGCAGCCTCCGGTGTGACAGGCAGCTGCTGGTAAGTTTGAGCCAAGTCAAGCTTAGCAAATACCTTCCCTCCCCCCAGGGAAGCCAGGATGTGGCTGATTACTGGAACCGGGTACGAATGCTGTTGTAAGGCTTTGTTCAGGGTACACTTGTAATCTGCGCATATCCGTACAGACCCGTCCGGTTTGACCAGAGTTACTATGGGTGTCTCCCACTTACTAAAAGGTACAGGTTCCAAAATCCCCTGTTCAATGAGCTTGTCCAATTCAGTTTCAACCCGAGGTTTGACTGAGATTGGTACCTTTGGATACTTTAACCATATCGGTGTAACAGACAGATCTAATTCAAATGCAATTGGAGGCTCGTTGTACCTCCCCAATCCATCCCCAAATACTTCCGGGAACTCATCATACAACATATCCCATTTATTTTAACACATTTGGTTAATTCCATAGATGCCAATGCCTAGTGGCTTGAACCAGTCTAACCCCAGGAGGTTTACCCGGTCCCCTTCAGCAACCAACATTGATAATTTGGCACATTTCCCTTTAAACTCTACATTCACAGTATCCCTCCCTGCCAAAGGAATCCTCTTCCCTTGAAAGTCAGACACCCTTGTGTCCACAGGCTGGAGTCACCGCCGACTCCGGGTAGGGAACAGCCGCTGCCAGGATGCTGAAGTAATCACTGTGACGGATGAGCCGGAATCGACCTCCATGGTGCATGGTTTTCCATCGAGGAGTGGGGTGACGGAGATCTTTGCCTGACAGCCAGTGCGAGAAATGGTCAATGCGTTTGTCAGGCTTGATGTCATCTGACAGTTGGCCTCGGACATACGGGAACACTGTTTCCTCGCCGTTAGTGGGGATGACAATGTAGCTTTGTGTGCCGACCTGCAGACTTTGGCCAAATGGCCCCGCCACCCACATGCTCGACATTCGACATCCCAGGCCCAGCACTGGTCGCGGTGATGTTTCCCTCCACATCCGGAATACGCCTTGTGCATTGCAGTCTTTGCTGGGGTCTGCTTGTCCACTCCCGCCTTTAATTCGTTGACGTCATCATCCGCATCATCGCCTTCACTGTCACGACACTGGAAATGGACACGCTGCTCCGGTGACGTTAGTTTCTGCCGGACCTCTCTTGTTGATTTGTCGGCTGCCTCTGCTGTGACAGCCTCCTCATATGCCACAGCCCAGGTCAGGGTTGTGCAGGCAAACAACCGTTGCTGTAGCCTCTCGTCCCGAAGGCCACACACTAGCCAGTCTCTGAAGGCTTCCTCAATGTCCGCGAAATTGCACGGTCTTGCTGCCTTGCGTAGAGCTGCCACAAATTCGGCGATGGTCTCGCTCGCTGCCTGGCTCCGTTTGTAGAATGCATGCCGGCAGGCAATCTCCAAGGGCTGTGGTGAGAAATGGCCCTTCAGCTTCTTCGTCAGCTCCTCGAACGACACTGTCTTTATGTCGGCCAAAGCTACCAACGACCTGGCAATATCAAACATGTTATTTCCACAGGAACTCAGCAGACTGGCTCGCTTTTTTGCCTCCGTCATGATGTCGTTGGCTTCCAGGTGGAACTCGAACCTAACAAGGTACGCATCCCAGTTCTCGGTCGTGGGTTCAAATGCCTCGAACATCTGGCTATTGGCCATCCTGGTAGGCTCGTTCACCGGTACTGGTGGTGCCTCCACTGGAGTGGCCACAGCGCTGTGCTCGTCCTCGTCCATCGTGGGGTTTGTTAAGCAGGGCTGCCTACTCGCTCTAACATCCCATCCTCATCGCCAATTGTTGTATCGCCGCTAACAAAGATCCGGAGAGTGATTTCAGCAAAGTGATCAGCTTTATTGAAGGTACGAACAAGCGCTTAATGGCATTCATAACCAGAACAAATTAACATTGGGAGCTAGGCTCCTTTTAAACCTTCCCGGGCTAACACAGCCACGCCTCTGTACAATTAACAACCAATGAGGTTGTTCAGATAAAGACCAATGAGAGTCTTTCCCTCTCAGGGAGCTGGTACAGTCCTGATTGGTCGCTGTTGTAGAGCGACCAATAGTAAGGCAGGTTGGAGGAGCCTTCGTCTGGCTCGAAGCTGGGGAGTGAATGCGGCGATTGCAGTAAGCCTTTTCAATACATGAGGATGAAGCTGAGTGGCCAATGAACATCGGGGGGCCACACCATCCTCCCTCTTGACCCAAGGGCAGGTGCAATAGGGAGAGAGGTTGTCTGTCACGTGGGATCTTTGGGTGCTGCCCACTGTATTAAATTGTTTTAAATGTTTTACTGTGTTTTTATCGCACTGAGTGCCATACTGTGAAATCACAGTGCTGCATTGCACCCGTATATTGTAAGCCGCCCTGAGCCCATGTGCGGGGAGGGTAGGGTATAAATAAAATAAAATAAATAAATAATACATTACATACAGCATAACCAGATCTGAAACCAGACTCATCTCCAGTCTCATCTCCAAAACACTGAAGATTTACATTTCCTCAAGCACTCCACCATTCAGCCTATTCTTTAACTTTCTTGGATCCTAGAAATGTTTCTTTTCAGAAGGTGCACAACTGCAGCCATCCAGATGGCCTGAACTTCAATCTCCCACAACTAAGCTTCACCACTAACTGGTCTCCTTTGGCTTGCTGCAAAGAAGCCAGGTGGGCAAAGGCTGAGCACAGAGGGGCTGTCTACATGTTTGTAAGCCCCTTCCTCAGTGTCCTCTGTTTGTAATGACTGATAGTCATCCAAGAAATGGTGACTTCAGTCAGCTATGTTGACATCCCGCGACTGATAGTCATCCAAGTAATGGTGACTTCAGTTGGCTATGTTGACATCCCGTGACTGACAGTCATCCAAGTAATGGTGACTTCAGCTGGGATTTATTTTTGCAGAAGCAGGCAATTTTATCAGCAGCACGGCTTGTGCAAATGTCACTGCAAACAACCTAATTATCCAAGTTTACACAATTATGGGTTTGTTGAGAGAAGCTCCTCCTCACAATTCAGACAAGCTTTGGCTGCGGTCACACGCGACATTAGCCACGCAAGAGATACGGAAGACAAGCGGAGTTTCCGGTCGTGATCTCACCAGCACATCTGGGAAGCGTAGCGCTTCCGTGGCACAACTGAGGCTTCCTGCCGAAAAAGCGCAGCAAAAAACTAGTACCTTGGAGGTACTAGTTTCCAGAAACTGCGGGGCAAGGGCGGGCGTCTGATCGCGTTTCCGGTGGTATCCGGCGCCCGCCCATGTCCCCTTGCGGAAAAGGGTTTTTTTCCCCCCACGTCTCCGTGGATGCGCACACGCACCCAACGGAGCATGCGCATTCGTAGTGTACACAAAAAAAGAAAACCAGTTCACCGCGCCGCGCGCTTCTTCATTGCGCGCAGGCGTGTGTTGTGATCGGCACCTCTCCCTTGCCATGGAACCTCCACAGTACCTCCACAGAACCTCCACAGTAGGACTGATCGCTTTACTGCATGTTAGTTTGCCCCGGGGCAAACAGCCACACTTCTCCTCTGCAGTTTCCTGCCCGTGTGGCAGGGGCCTTTGTTGGACAGCTACAAGCAAAAACAAGAGTGGCCAAAAAAGGGGGAAAGGTTTGTCACAATATCCACTAGAAACCCAGTTCTGAGACAGCCCCATGGTTGCCAAAGGGATCATAAAGCCCTCAGCCTCCCCAGATAAGAGAATAATCTGAAGTCTCTGAGGATTAAACAAATCCAGGGGCCTCAGCCCTAGGGGCAAGACCACCTCCGCCAGCTCAAGCAAAGGAGGCCGATAGGTGGCACAGTTCAGGGTACCAATGGAATGGCTCTAGTTCTACTGATAAAATATCTTCAAAAATCACACACGCAAAAAATTCCCCGAGATCCTTACTAAAATAGTCAGCCCAAACTGGGCCTCAGTTGCTTCCAACTGTCTGTGCCTAACCATGCATATTTAATAGCTAGCTTTGTATTTTATTAGCAAGTATCACCTATTCTAGAACTTCTATTAAAGACAATCCATTTTGTTGTTGTTGTCCAGTCGCACAGTCGAGTCCGACTCTTTGCGACCCCATGGACCAGCTCCCTTATATTAGGTTCTCAGAACAAAAGGAGTAAGTTAGTTAAGACTAAAGTTGCAACAGATGATTAAGAAGTTTAAGAAGTGAGGCTGTTAGTGACTAGAAACAGGGTTTTTTCAGTGGTGGCACCTCACCTTTGGAATATCCTTCCCTTGGAATATCCTTCCCTTCCAGCTGCATCAGATCAGACAACTGGCCTCTTACCTGTCTCCCCCTGACCTAGCTACAGTAATCCACACAATGGTCACATCCAGGCTAGACTACTATAACTTGCTCTACATAGGGCTACCCTTGAGGGTGACCCGGAAACTCCAGCTGATCCAGAACACGGCTGCGTGGGTGCTCAATTGGACCCCTTGTATGGCACATATTCAACCTGTATGGCACATATTCAAGCTGCACTGGCTTCCAGTAGAGTACTGGATCAGGTTCAAGGTTCTGGTGTTAACCTTTAAAGCCCTTAATGGCCTGGGACCCACGTACCTTTAGGATCACTTCTCCTGGTACACCCCCAGAAGAGCTTTACACTCAGGAAATAAGAACTTCCTGGTGATCCCGAGCCTGAGAGACATCCGGCTGTCCTCAACTAGGGCCAGGACTTTTTCTGCCCTGGCCCCTACCTGGTGGAATTCTCTGGCAAATAACATCTGTGCCCTGCAAGACTTGTTGCCGTTCTGCAGGGCATGTAAGGCAGAGATGTTCTGCCAGGCGTTCGGTTGAGGACAGCAAAGGTCCCCTATCTAGTCTGGCAGTGC